TTTTTTTTTTTTTCTGAAAAATAAGTGTGCCACCATTTTATTGCATGAACATATTTTTGACCCTTCATGAGTGCCTCATCAGTTTCTTTTGTGAACAAGCCTTTCCCATTTATGTCTACAAGTGATGGCTCATTATGTCATCAACCAACTCCCGTGTGTTTCTATGAGCTTATCTCATGTCTTATAAGCTTGGGCAATGGCTAATGGTCTATCTTACATGGAAAAAAATTAAAGATAAACCATAAGAACAAATGTAACAAAAACATTTAGACAATTCAATTGTGTGAATTGGGAAATTTAGAAGGCATGAAAACCATATAAAAAACTTCTTTCGGCTTCTTCCCCACTAAAAAGTAGAGGTATTTTTATAATACTTAATTCATGATTATAGTAGTCACCAATATCGGGTACAATGTATACGTACTGTGTGAGACAAATTATGAATTTATTCTTTAATTTTTTTTAGTAACGATTTTCTTCATGTCTACATATGGGTTCCTCTTACTCCAAGTTTCATTTATCTACTTAGCTTCTTTTGATTACTTAGTGACATAATCTATGAACTTTTGAACAACATCAACAATGATGTATTTGCCTAAACACCTGATAGAATCATTTTATAGCGGTTTTTTTTTTCCTTTTCAAATTTAATTTCTAAGCTAACACATTCACAAGAACCTCATCTTCACATCCTTCTTTTTTTTTAAAAGCATTAGCTTGCCAAAGCTGTAGCAAAAGAAATAAACGACTCATCCAGTAAATTACAAACTCCTAATAGGATAAACAAATTAAAATGCAACGTTAACATGTTCAATATGCTTGTTGAATCCGATTATCTAAAGAAAAGAACAAAGCAAGCTTAGAATATTTCTTGAAACAATCTTTTGATTTGAACCTTTTAAATAGGTTAAATAACCTTTCTAGTAAACTAATTCCCTGATCTTCCAACTCTACATAAAGCCGAAACAACCAATTGAAACATGATGGGCTTTGTCGTGGATCACATATCCTGCAAAGGACAAGAAGGTGATTAACGGAGATAAAGTGCAAAAAATCATTATCGAAGACTCCTAAACTCTGCAAATATGTAAAGAATGAGAAGTACTCAAATTTTATGCCTTTCTATTGTTGCTACGTCTTCTGGTGAAATTTATAGAGGATGTGAGAAGTGAGTATAAATTTTTTACTTAGAGAAACTCTAAAAGACTAGCTAAAATTTCCCTTTTTAGCTATTTTAGATAGTTTCTCCTTAAAATGTGGTTTCAACAAACTAGATATTTCTCTATCTATTTTTCATAACTCCATTTTTACTTGCTACATCTAGCTAACAATTTCTCTTTAGCTACTTCAGAAGTTGTTGGTCTAGTGTTTGAATGAGGCGATCGATGGAGAGACGATGATATCTAGTTTGATCAAACTTAAAGTCTTTAGAAATTTTCGATCAAACTTGAAAGTTTTGAGGTAATTTTGTTTTGAATTTTGTGATTTAATTTGAGAGAATCTAGTTTGGGAGTAGTAATTTTCGGGAGGTTGATTCTCTCTTGTAGTCTATAATTGATTAAATTTGTACAATATATTGTTGAATTGNTGTACGTGTGTATGTATTTGTGTGTTTGTATGTATGTGTGTGTATTATCTGTGCCCTTGAATGAGTATCATCATTCTTGTTGTGTTCTGAGTTTGTTATGGCTACTCATCCAACAGAATTGGTTGCATATGCTTTCTATTACGATTTTGGTGATTTTGTTAGCTTCACTTCCAAAACCAAATCTGACAGGGAGAAATAACTACTGCAGAATGAGCCAGTAACATTTATGTAGCTCTTTGCAGGTGCTGTTCTCCGAGGTCGGTGACCTGAAACGGTATTCAATCCATTATGATAGGAGTGGAAGATCCAAGGTATCTTGATAGGTTGAGGTTAATCAGGTCCTTTTGAGATTTATTTGTATCTACAACATGTGGCTTACAAAGAACGTTTTAGGGAACTGCGGAAGTTGTTTTTGCTCGCCAGTCTGATGCTTTAGCAGCTGTCAAGAGGTACAACAATCTACAGCTCGATGGAAAACCAATAAAAATTGAGTTGGTAGGAATTAATCTTGTTACGCCGCCTTCAGTGCCTCCAACTACTAATGGCATTCTAGGAAACCCACCTGTGGAGTTTAGAAGGTATGCATTCTAACATGATTTTAGATAAATCTATTCATATCTGAAAACTCTGGCCACAAAATTTTGGCATGCGAACTTAAGAGGCATTCTTATTGGTACTTGTTATACATGGGTTCCCTTTAAATTAATGTTTTTCTCACAAGAGTACTTCTGAGGTCTGAAACATGGAATGTAGAGTTTCAATACAGTGTTCACTACAATGAAACTGTGAATGGAATTAGTTGTGTAGTTGTCTTGTTTCCTTTGTTTCTTGCATAAACTCTAGATGATTTCTCAATAACTTCCGTTTTCATCTGCAAACTAACTGGCTGTAGAGTTTGATATCACGCATATTTGGGACTACCTACCTGTATGCTTATTGGTGCCTGATTTAAAGATTACAATTTCTCACTTCAATGACGGAAATAGCTCGAGACTCAAGAGGGATGGAATGAGGAATATGGACTTTCTGAATATGCAGAACATGGTTTCCAAGTGATTTCTATTTGTGCAACTTTTAAGTCATCATATTCTTTTAATCAAGGCCATCAATATGAGGATTTCAAACTCTTTTTTGCTCTTTTCATTTCCAAACCCATCTCCCCAGACACCCTACTTGCATTCTCACATTCCATGCTCATGATCAAGTCCTATTCTGATGATAGGTTGTGTAGGTTAGTTGCTTCTGTTTGTTGTCTTGTGGTTCCTCTCAGTTAGATGTGGACTGATTAGTCTGTTTTTGCTACCTTATTGGTCAGAAGACAAGTTGCAGGTAGGGGTTGGGATCATCTTGGTAGTGGTGGCGGTCATGGTCGTGGTCGTGGACAAGGGAGGGGTCTTGGACAAAGGAGAGGCCATGAAGAGAAGATATCAGCTGAAGATCTTGATGCTGAATTGGAGAAGTATCATTTAGAAGCTATGCAAATTAACTAACTGTCATGTCCAGTTTTTCCTGACCTGGTGGTATGAATGGTGCAACTATACCAGTCCCAATATGCAAAATGCTATTTTGTTCTAGATAGAAGAAAATTCACTAACTAGATACTGGTTGATTCATATATGGTTTGCTCCCTGAGATTGCTGGGTTGGGTTGCTTCTCTTCTGTGCATGACTATTGAAAGATGCTGCCTTTCTTTTACTTAGTTGCTGATTCTGATGGTTGGTTTGTTATAGTCACGTTTTACTATTTTTCATGCCTTTCGGATGTGAAGGTAAAGAAAGAAAAATGAAAAATGAGGGGAAAGAACAGTTCTTGTGAATGCTGGCAACTTGGCATGCTCTCTGGCATCCTCCTTCCATTATAAAGGGGGTCAACATGTGTGCATTTCCGCCCTGCATTGTTACTTTTTTTGGGTTAATTGTACTGGAGGTCTTTAAAGTATGAGATTTGTCTTATTTTGATTTCTAATATTTTAATTGTATTATTTTAGTTTCTGAAATATTAAATATATTTTTATGTGANTGGGTTTAATTTGTGTTGGGTGATAAATTTTTTGTATAATACTAAACATGTTTTTTTTTTTGTTTTCACAATTTTTTAAATATAAATAACTATTAAACATGTTTTATATTTTTAAATTTTATCACAAAAAAATAAAAATTAATTTTATTTTTAAAAAAAAAAAACATAAAAACGAAACGTTACCAAACACTCTTTTAATATTTTCCACAGTTGCACATTACCAATTATATGAGGTTGTGTTAAGTACAGTCGTAGATTCATGCCATCAGCATTGCAATTTGAAGNTCTTAATTAAATTTTTATTCAAATTTTGGTCAAAAAGTTATTCAAATTGTATAGTTTTGACTATGAATTATCTAAATTTTGATTAAGATTTATTAATATTATATATTTGTTGTTGAGAGTTATTTAAACAATTTTTTGTTAATATTTAAGTATTACATGACAAATTTTTGATCAAAAACTATTAACAATTTGAATGTTGTTTACTTAAGGGACTACATAGAAACATATTCAATATTTTAAAGACTAAAATGATACAATTAAAATATTAGAGACCAAAATAAAATATTCTATACTTTAGAGACCCTCTAATACAATTAACCCTACTAATTTTTGGGGGTGGTTGTACACTATCAGTTTTACTGTTATTGTCTTCTTAAATGTTGTCAAACTTATCGATTGTTTACTTGAACCACTAATCTTTATTATCCTGAATTAAGCAGGGGATCTCTAGAATATTAGAATTTAGATTAGCATTGCCTGCATTAACCAATCCCCACTAACATTTTTCGAGCGTGTTTTCCACCAACTGTTTAATTGACTGCTAAATGTTTATTTGCAGTAGTGTCGTTAATGTTTATTACTATTTCTATGGAAAAGTTAGATTGTATTTGGTAATCACAAGTTTCGGATTTTTTTTTTCAATTTTTGGGACAAATAAAAATAAAAATATATTTGATAAATGTTTTTGTTTTTACTTTTTGGTTGATCCGTTTGAAAACAATGTCAATTTTTAAAAATATCTAAAATGATGTTTTTGAAAACATATTAAAAAACAACAAAAAAAAAAGAACAGACGGAAGATAGAGTCTCATTTAACGAGGTCTTGACTTCAAATTTCATTGACAAAAAAATCTCTCTTTTTTTCTCACCCTATAAAAGACCAAAATAAAGGAAAATTTTCTCCATCTTCTTTGCAACTTCCAACCGAAGGCTCTGCCCTTTCAACGAAGAGGCTGTGCCTCTTTGTCAAAGAACTCCAACAAACTATTTAACTTTGGGGGGTGATGGATTTCGTGGGTGGGGGATGGTGGGTTTCAGAATGGTGGTTGGGTGGTTTGGGGGCGGGGGGGGATGGGTGGGTTGGGGG